CAGGCCTGCCTTCCGAGGCACCGCAGGATGAAGAAGGTGCACTCCGCTCACCCCCTTCAGGGCTCTATCGGTAAAATACTGGACTATTACGTAACACCGCGCCTCTGTCCTGCTCTGTAAAATGAGGGTGACGACTTCATAGAATTCTTGAGCTAATTAATTGAAGTGATGTATTCAGAGCGTTGGTTACCCATCGGACTGTATTCTGCCTGGTCAGCTGTTCGAAACCACCAGCAGCATCCAGGGAGAAAGACGAGTTTTTTACTCCCATAAACAATTAGTCTCAGAAGCCCGCGGGGGTGGCTAGGAGTCAGCATTGACTCACCGGCTGTGAACTTGGTTTGGTTTGGAGATAGAGTGTTGGCAAAGCACCTAGCTCATTAAATGCTACTCATAGTGGTTGGAACAGGAATGGTGTGATTGGAACTAACCAAGAGAAATACAATAGTTTAAAAACAAACCATGTGAGCGATCTCTCTCAATATATATTTTACTTCTAACACTGGTCCCTTAGAGGGATGACAACCAGCCCAGAATGTCCAAGGTGGCTGAAGACGTCCACAATGACTTTTGCTGAAAAGCCCTTTCCTGTATAACCTCTCATTTTATCCTCTCAGTATCTGAGCAGCGTTTTTCAAAACCCATAAACAGGACACGGGCGGTGAACTCCTAGGTTCAGCAGGGCATTGGTTTCAATGATGGAATCCGGCACCCTACTATGTAAACCTCTTGAGCATTTAAGATTTTTCCTAGGGAGATGCAAAAATTGCTTTTGTATTCCCAGGTGGAGAAGGGGAGTAAGTGATTTGGGTTACTTCCTGAAAGAAGCAGGGTGGTCAGGGACTGATCAGCCCCCAAGGTGGGGGCGGGTGGGTGCTGGCTGTGAAACCAGCTGGCAGGTGAGGGTGGGCAACAGCCTCAGAACCAGGCTGTGGTGGTTTCTCAGCGTGGGGGACAGGAGAGGAGAACAGAGCGTGTCGCGTGGCCACCCTTTGTATCACTGTTCTCTGCCCACCTCCCCGCTTCATTCAACGTCCCTGGGATGGGACGCTTGGGCAGCATCTCTGGGCAAGGGGGAAGAACAGCAAACAGCGCTCTTGATGCCTGTCTTGGTCTTTCTCCTGGGCTTCCTTCTCCACGCTGGTGTCAGCCGCCCCAGAGCCGACCTTCCAATCCATAAACTTTTTCACCTCTAGCCGACCCCAAGCCAAGGTCCTCATTACCTGACCCTGGCATTCCTCCTGCCCCTTCACAGGGCTCCTGTGAACTCCCCACGCTCTCGGGCCACCTGTGCCAGGTGGAGGGGATTCTGTGAACTGGAGGATTCCCGCAGATGATTCAAATCTCTCTGACTCTGAGCACCATTTACAGGGGCTGGGGGTGTGGGTGACAAGATGAGTTAAAAAAGAATT